TCCATAGAGTACATCCCCTAGAGATTACACCCCCCTTACTCCACAGAGTATATCCCCTAGAGATTACACCCCCCCTTACTCCATATACATCCCCTATAGATTACACACCTCTTACTCCATAGAGTACATCCCCTATAGATTACACACCCCTTACTCCATAGAGTACATCCCCTATAGATTACACCCTCCTTACTCCATAGAGTACATCCCCTATAGATTACACACTCCTTACTCTATAGAGTACATCCCCTATAGATTACACCCCCCTTACTCCACAGAGTACATCCCCTATAGATTACACACCCTTTACTCCACAGAGTACATCCCCTATAGATTACTCCCCGCAGCCCCTGTAGCACACACCCCCATAAACGCGTCATCCCCTATAGAGCACCCTCGTGCACGCGTGCACGTGCACGTGCACACACACACGCACGCTGATCCCCTAGAGAATTACACACACACACCCCCCTCGTGAGCGCACGTGGGCACCTGCATGTCCTTGTAAATCCTCTCCTACATGTGCCGGTGCAACCTACACCCCGCTTGCACACCCACGGGGCAACCTACACCGGGGTTACACACACAGTGCAACCTACACCCTGCTTGCACACTCATGGCACAACCTACACCACAGTTACACACACGGTGCAACCTACACCCCTGTTGCATACTCATGGCGCAAGCTACACCACAGTTACACACAGCGCAACCTACACCCCGCTTGCACACTCGTGGCGCAACCTACAACACAGTTACGCACACGGTGCAACCTACACCCTGCTTGCACACCAATGGTGCAACCTACACTCTGGTTACACACACAGCGCAACCTACACATTGCTCGCACACAAACAGGGCAACGTACACCGTGGTTACACACAGGGCACAACCTACACCCTGCTTGCACACCTGCAGGGCAACCTACACCATGGTTACACACACGGTGCAACCTACACCTTGCTCGCACACCCACAGGGCAACCTACACTGTGGTTACACACACGGAGTGACCTACACCCCGCTTGCACACCTGTGGTGGAACTACACCCCGCTTGCACACTCGCTGTGCAACCTACACCATGGTTACACACATGGTGCAACCTACATCCCACTTGCGCACTCGCGGCGCAACCTACACTGGAGTTACACACATGGTGCAACTTAAACCTCCCTTACACACGCACAGTGGAAGATGCACACACGGTGTCCACTTCTATACGTGTGCGGGGCAACCTACACCCCGCTTGCACACTCGCAGCACAACCTACACCATGGTTACACACACGGTGCAACCTACACCCCGCTTGCACACCCGCAGAGCAACCTACACCCCACTTGCACACTCACGGCGCAACCTACACCATGGTTACACACATGTCACAAGCTACACCCTGCTTGCACACCCACAGCATGACTTACACCACGGTTACACACATGGTGCAACCTACAATTCGCTGGCACACCCACAGCACAGCCTACACCATGGTTACACACTGAGTGCAACCTACACCCCACTTGCACACCTGTGGTGCGACCTATACTATGGTTACACACATGACACAATCTACACCCCACTGGCAAACCCACTGTGCAACCTACACCGTGGTTACACACACAGTGCAAACTACACCCCACTTGCACACCTGTGGTGCAACCTATACCATGGTTACACCCACGACGCAACCTACAGCCCGCTTGTACACCCACAGTGCAAACCTACACCCTGCTTACACCCTCACAGTGCTAGTTACACCCGTTTGCACACACAGCGCACGAGCTACACCCCGTTCACCTCACGCAGTGCAAACTACACCCTGCTTACACGCGCATAGCACGAGCTACACCCCTTTGCACACACAAGGAGCGAGTTACAGCTGTTTACACATGTACTCGGCAAACTACACCTCATTTGCACACTCAGTGCAACCTACACACTACTTACACATGTGCAGTGTGACCTACACCCCGCTTGCACACTCACAGTGCTGTTTACACCTCACGCACCCACACAGTGTAAACTACATCTTCCTTACACACACACACAGTGCAACCTACACCCTGCTTGCACCTTCACAGCGTAAACCATACCCTGCTTGCACACTCACGGTGTAAACCACACCCCGCTTGCACACAGTGCAGTTTACACCCCACTCGCACACACAGAGTGCAAACTACACCTTCCTTACACACACTGCAACCTACACGCCACTTGCACACTCACAGTGTAAACCACACCCCGCTTGCACACTCAGTGCAGTTTACACCCCACGCACACACACAGTGCAAACTACACCTTCCTTGCACACACACAGTGCAACATACACCCCACTTGCACATTCACAGCGTAAACCACACCCTGCTTGCACACTCACGGTGTAAACCACACCCTACTTGCACTCTCATGGTGTAAACTACACCCCGCTTGCACACTCACAGTGCAAACTACACCTTCCTCACACACATACACTTCAACCTACACACCACTTGCACATTCACGGTGTAAACCACACCCCGCTTGCACACTCACGGTGTAAACCACACCCTACTTGCACTCTCACGGTGTAAACTACACCCCACTTGCACACTCACAGTGGTTTACACACCACTTGCGCACACACAGTGCAAACTACACCTTCCTTACACACACACACAGTGCAAACTCCACCCCGCTTGCATACTCACAGTGTAAACCACACCCCACTTGCACACAGTGCAGTTTACACCCCACTCGCGCACACACAGTGCAAACTACACCTTCCTTACACACACACACTGCAACCTACACCCCGCGTGCACATTCACAGTGTAAACCACACCCCGCTTGCACACTTACAGTGTAAACTACACCCCACTTGCACACTCACAGTGGTTTACACCCCACTTGTGCACACACAGTGCAAACTACACCTTCCTTACATGCACACGTTGCAACCTACACACCGCTTGCACATTCACGGTGTAAACCACACCGTACTTGCATACTCACGGTATAAACTACACCCCACTTGCACACTCACTGCAGTTTACACCCCACACGCACACACAGTGCAAACTACACCTTCCTTGCACACACACAGTGCAACATACACACCACTTGCCCACTCACGGTGCAAACCACACCCCACTTGCATACTCACGGTGTAACCCACACCCCACTTGCACACTGACAGTGTAAACCACACCCCGCTTGCACACTCAGCGCAGTTTACACCCCACTCGCGCACACACAGTGCAAACTACACCTTCCTTACACGCACATATTGCAACCTACACACTGCTTGCACCCCAGAGCGCAACCTACACCGCAGTTACACACGCAAAGCCCAAACTACACCCCACTTACACACAAAGATCTGGGGAACACGAGGGTGCAAACACCCGGTAGAGACCCCCCCTGCTTCTCCCCCCCCTGGGGTTTGGGTGGGCAACTTGGGACAAGCCAAGGAAGCTGCTTTGTGGCCAAGAATAATTTTTGTTCCCTGGGG